GATGGGAATCGAGATTTGTTTTTTAACTAAATAATATAAAAAGTTTAGTCTGGCTCGATGTATAAGAATTGTAATGAAAGATAAGTAAAACACTCGATGGATATATCTATGATTAATATTATTTTATCTTTGTAAAAAATTTGAGAAAAATTACAAATGGCGATAATTGATGGTACAAAAGTTTTCATTCACCAAGGAAATTCATCTAATTTGAAAAATCTCTTAATGAAAGTTTGTGAAAGTATATGGATAAATAATGAATGATAAAACAATTTTTTTCAGCAAGAAAAATTTGTATAAAAAATTAAATATTAAAAATACTGAAACTTTAAATAAGGATTGATTTCATTTTTTCAAAGTGATATTCTTCAATTAAGAAATGTTTCTTATATAATTTAATATGATTTAAAATTACTCAAAAAGTTAAAAATAAATTTCTTTCGATTTTAAGTTTTGATAATGATTTATTATTATTGTTAGCTGGATTTGAAACGTAAGGTATAAAAACTTTTGTATGATTGATTTTATATATGATTTTGAGTCATCGTGTTACGTATCGTTTATTCAGAAACTGATGATTTAATCTATCATTAATCGAGTAGTGTATATTTATACGTTTAATTATTTTACTCTATCTTTTCTCGTGATTCACACAAAATTATATAATTATCTTAATAATCTAAATATCCAATTATTCGAATTAAATTAATATTCAAATATTATTCTATTTTAAATTTTGTTGATATTTTGATTTATCTTAAATAAATTTAAAGATAAGAAGGTTTAAATATTAATATGAATAATTATATTTACATATTCATTAAAAATTTACATGCCTGCAAAATTTGAATTGAAAATTTCAAAGTAAATATTCGGCATTCGTAATGCTTCCTTCAAACGTATCCTTTGAAATAAACAAACTACTCAACATTTCAAAATTCCAAGAAATATCAAATGAATTGTATACGTTTAAAAATCACAAACACAATAAAGAGTGGATTCAATAAAAATTAGCTGATTTCATTATTTAATATAAAAAAAAAATTATGTAACTTGTCAATTAGTTATTATTACTAGATTATTGCATGATAAATATTTCTTTTTATTAATTTTCACGGTTTCAATCATTTTCAGATTATAAAACAATGATATCAACAATGATTTTCGTTTGTATTTTATGGTAAAAACATTAAAATAAGAAATTGAAAACATGGAAACATATATACAAGATTCTATCAATAGAAAATATGAGTAATGACAATTTTTAACTCAAAAATGCAAATTCTGAATTATGTCATCAAAAAAAAACTTATTATGCAACTATCTAACTGAATAGCAATATAAGATATATAACAGTAGAACTACCAAACTCGTCAAAATATTAAATTTTACATTTTTTCTTTTACAATTATTAGAGCACATAAAAAATTTTTTAATAAAATTAATATCTTACTAAGATAGAAATGAACAATATTTAATTTATGACATAACTTTAATTATATATTTAAAATACTTAGATATACTCATTATATGTAGTACTTCTAGTGCTATAATAAAATATATCAAAAAAAAAAAAAAAAAAAAATCAGAAGTAAAAAACAATCAAAAACTCACCATCCTCGGCCGTATCTATCCCTGTACACCGAAACAGCGAATCCAAACATAGATCTGGTCTCATTCCGATATACAGCGTAATGTTTCGTCTCGACATTAAACGCATCCGAACACCACGGTGGTAAACCGACAACGAAGATCAGGCCAATTAAGCCTGCGATTATATTCGCGTACCACATGGTCACACTTGGTCTTCCCACTTGATCACACCCAATTCAATAGTTCTCATCCACTAAGTGCATACATAAGTTCCAACGACACGAGAAACTGTCATAAACGCATATACGTGTATATTCAATTCAAGATCCGATCCTCGCGATGGTAATAGTGTGTGTCAGGGTGGCGCGAAGGGCTACATGTGCCATCCACGAGGTCCTCGAGACACTGCGGGGAAAACTCGGATGAAACTCGACCTAGGAAACGTCGAGAGGAAGTGGGAGGGGGCACACACAAGAGTCGGAGACGTCTGCTTGACGGACGGCCGCGGACAGACTGAGTAGAAGCCCGTTCTTTCGGTTACTCTTCGCTCTCTTGACTTACGAGGGCTGCAACTCCCACCCACTTGCACGAAGTTGCGCTCCGCTCCGGCGTGCTTGCGTGCCGCAACTGCGCGACCCGGCCGGCCTCTGCTCTCTGCTCTCGTCGCTGCCGCCTTTTTTTCCGCGTCTATTCTCTCCGATGTGTTTATCGGTCGACGCTGTGTTTTCGCGACACGGCTTCGCCACAACGAATCGCTAGGTACTACTGCCATTACGTCTTTTGCGTCTGGACCAGTGTAACGTGTAACGTATCTCCGCTGAATCTTCATCACGTGTTTCGTTGGAGAGTTTTTTCTTTTTTTTTTTTTTTTTTTTTTGCTTTTAATCAGTTGAGATTGTTACATTCATCTTGTGATTATTAATAGATTGAGAATATTTGTGCGAAGTTAAATTTTTGTAGACACGATTTGAATTTAAGTGGAAATTTGTTTCGTTCTATATCAAAACAAATGCATGTTATTTTTTTAGACTACTTTTAGTATATTTTTTTTATTTTGTATATTCAAATTTTACATAATGTTCGCAGTTTAATTATTAATGACTATAATGATCGGAGGAGAAGAAGTAGAGTGAAATGGGATAAATGATTTTTCTGTTAATAAAAAATTAGATGACGGAAAAAACTTTAATCGTTATTAGATAAAACTTGTAAACTATCAGAAAATGATATTTTCAAAGAACAAACTCGAAAATCGAATTCTCTTTTTCAAATTCGTTCAAATTTACAGTAATCATATGATTGTCTTAAAATTTAATATTATATGTTCATTCTAAAACAGTACCCCATTTTATTTTACTTTTTCTTATATAATAAATACAATAATTTATAAAAAAATACATATAACATATATAATTTTATATATAACAATGACAGTGAGATCAATTCAATTTACAATATTGTAACTTATTTAAAAAAATGTAAAAGATTTTAATATAATTTTTAATAAAATAAAATTTTAATTTATTTTTTATTGGTTGGACTTAATAGATGGGGCCATTGAAGAGTTGTCACTTTCTTGGTTGTATTGTGAATAAGTATGAATAGAGATTGGCATGCTCAATTATCAGTCTCTTAAGAATTATTTTGCATTTCAGCTATTCCTGTTAAAGCTTAATTTTTGACTCTGTTACATTCATTCATGGAACTTGTGAGCTGAATATGACAATCATCGCCGCTTGCAAATAAAAATGATACAAACAATTTGCATTTGACATTTGAAAAGAAATCCTATATTTGTAAATTATCGTAATTATTATAATACTAATCTATTTTAATGTTAAACATTTTTTTATATATTAATTTTATAATTTTTTCGTAATTAAAATAAACAGATATTTATATATATTTTTTAAAAATAATTCATTTTTTTATCAATCATTATTTTTTGTTTAAAAACTAATTTTCTCTTTTAAAGAATTAAATGTTAATATATATATATAACGCTGTTTTAAAATACACATATATATATCTTTTATATGGAAAATTATTTTTTTACTTAGTCATTCTGAAAATATAATTTTATATAGATAATATATTATATTATATTTTTATATTTTTTCTTATTAAAATTATTATTTATTTTTCCTTCATTATCATTTATTTATTATTATATACATATTATTTATTTTCATTCATTATCATTAAATTAAAAAAGAAAAAAATATTTTATTTCGCTATTTGAATTGTATTTAAATATTCACTTTATTTTTTAAATCTATAAATTTATTTTCAATCACATAAAAAACGAATAGTTTGCATAAAAAAAGTGCACATGTACACATATCTATAGAATAATACATCAAGAAGAAAATGATTTTAAGTAAAAATATATGAAAAATATTATATTTTTTTATTTGAAAGTTCATCTTTGAGAAAATAAAATTTTATAATTTATCGAAGGCATGAACGCTTAATTAGTTGTTGATTGTACTTAATTTTGATTTTAATGAAAATACAAACTAAACAAAAAAAATTTTAATTATATTTTTTATTTATTTTCTATGTAGAACAACTTTTTAATTATTGTAGCCGATTCTATTCAAATTTAATGAAGAATTATTTAAATTCACGTTTATTTAAAAAATTTTTTTAATTTTTTATTATATCATTAACTACATCATTAGGACAACTTATAGAAATATTTATTCGCATTATTTTATCGCATATTATTTATTAAAAATTCTGTACAGTTTATTAATATAATTATTCTAGCATATGAAATAATAAAAAGTATTTAATTACGTAAATTTAATAAGTATTAGATACGTAAATTAATTCCATTCCTTTAGATTTATTCTTTTTTTCACACTTTTTACAATTTTGTAGAAATATTATTTGCATTTATGTTAATTTATTTAATTGAATTGAATAATGATATAATTTAATTGAATTATGTCATAACTAATTTAACTAATTTTGTATAAAATTATTGTCTAAATTGTATAAAATTCTAATTTTTTTTCAAATATAAGTGGTATTGAATTCATTTGCATAAATTTCATTTACAAAATGAATTTTAGAAAAATGATAAAAAAATTAAATCTATTTTTAATTGTATCTCATCATAATAGAAATTCAATTATTAATATCCAATGTCATGTATAATGTACACATATTATAAAAATTTTATAAATATGTACATACGCATCACACTCGCAAATTTACAATATACATAATTTTTTTATGTGAATTTATCATTTTTATTAAAAAATATCGTTTAATTAAATGATATTTAATCTCATATATATTAAATATAAAAATATGAAAGTCAAACAATTATAAAAAATAATTATGACGAAAATAATCCATATTTGTATCTTAAACTTTTGAGAGTGAAAAAAAAAAAAGAAAGAAAAAAATAACAATTAACATGTATAAAAATTAGAAATCATAAAAAACTTATACCTTTGTACATTAATCATACAAGTTTCTATATTACTACATGTCAAATTGAAGATTTTTTATTTTGCGACCTCCTAACACGTTGTGGAGCTGAAATGAAATTATAGCCATATATAAATATAAAATATCTAAATAAAATCTCGAATTAACAAAAATTTTTAAATATTATTACGTTTCTCTTCTATTTCCAAAGAAATAGAGTCTTCTAAAAGTGTATTTCTTCCATTTCTATTTTTACTCCTTCTAACATGAGGAGTTAGAGGCAGGATTGATTTGTTTGTTCCATCATTAGACTCTTTATCTAAAAAATAAAATATTTTCATTTAAACATTATATTAAAAGGAAAAAAAATATTATTTTATTTAGAATTATTAATACCAGAAAATTTTACACTTCTAGTAGATTTTCTTTTGTCATTACTCTTTTCTAAATGTTTATTATCATTACAACTGTAACACACTAACTCTATATTTCTTCTTTCCCCTGTATTGATGTTAACACGACTTCTTCTTGTTCTTCTCTCTAGAGGAGTTTCATTTTCTTTATGTTCCAGTTCTTGTTCATTAATTAACATTTTCTTTGAAGATCTTCTTTTAGCTCTAGGTGTATCTGTTGAGGTAACAATTCTATTTCTTAAAACTCTTATACTTCCATTATGTTCATCTATTTCTTCCTTATTACTTATACAAACATTCTTCTCTAATTTTTCATTTAATATATTTAAATCCTTATCATCTATAATTTCTTTAGATGATATGGAATTAATGTTTGTATCTAATGTTAAAGTTTGATTTAATATCACATCATTTTCATTATCAATTGCATTTTGTTTTATGATCTTTTTTGATGTTTTATTAACATTTTTTTGTTCTTGTAAAGGTGTAAGTGTTTCTATATTTGATGGTAGTGTTCCATCAATACTTTTACTTATAGAATTTTTATTTTCTGAATCTTTTTTAACATCATTTAAAGAATCATTAAAATTAGTATCATCAAAAAGAAGTTTCCTTTCTACTTTAATTGCTATTTCATCAGAATTATTCAAATCAAAACTATCTATTGCTGATACTTTACTTAAATTCATTTTTGTCTCTCTCGTTTCATTAGGTGATATTTCATTTAAAGCCATTTGATCATCAAAATTAACTTTATTTATTGATTTTGTATGACTTTCTATTTCATTTAAATTCTTTCGTTGTTTTAATATACCTTTTCCAGGTGTCTGATTAGAATTAATATAGGATATTGAGTCATCTAATTGTATTTTTGGTGCTTTATACATTTGACTTATTTTTATCATTGTTAATGGACTTTTTGTTTTCATTGATAAATTAGATAATTGTACCTTTTGCAATAAACTTGATCTCTTATTATGTTTTACAGGTGTAAATTTGTTTTCTTTAGAATCAATGGATATAGATTTTTTTTCATAATGCATATTAGGATTTTCAATGCTTTTACAATTATTACTATGATTCAAATTAGATTCAAGTTCATTTGTACTATTATTATCTTTTATCTTTTCGGTCATATTTTTTTTCTTTTCTGCTAAAATAGCTCTAATGGAAGTTGATTTGGTAGATACAATTTTCTTTTTAACAGTAGATTTTTTTTTAATAATTGGTTTAACAATAACTATTTCCTCTTCTTTCCAACCTTGTGAACGAAGTTTTTCTAATTTTTCAAATCTTAAATCACAATTTTTTATTTCCATATACATCATATCCCAAAATCCTTGCAAATCTTTGCATGTAACTAACATCTCTCCTTTTCCTGTTTCACAATCAGCAACTAATCCACGAAATCTTTCAAACTTTTTACTTATTAACAAATTTGTTTGTCCAATTGCTTGATTTATTTCATATTGACCATCTTCTATAGTTTCAGGCTCAGCCTTAATTTTTATCCATTTTTCACATAATTCATTCAATCTATCTATTTCTTTATTCAAAAGAAATTGAAAATATTGTGCAGTACGTTCTTCTTCTTCAACTGAAATATTTAAATTCTTCATGACATTATCTTTTGTAGGAATATCATCATTTAGTGAATGACCAATATTAAATCCATGTCTTAATTGTTGCTCTTTCCTAGCATTACTTTTTCCACGACTAGAAACTATATGAGGTGAAAAGAAAGCTGGTTCACACTGAGAATTTAATGATTTTAATGGAGATACTTTATTTTCTGAAGAACAAGTTACTTCTTTCATACTATTATTAGGCATTACTTTAATATCATTACTATCACTGATAGTATAAGAAATATTAAGTTTTTCTTTCTCATCAGATGATAACCGTAAAGATATAGATTCTATGGAACTATCCTCTTCTATATCTGTATTTATTAGTTTTGTATCAATTGCTGGTATATCTTCTTTTATAGATTGTGAAATATTAATTTTATTACTTTTTCTTGGTGTCTTTGAAGATGTATTCATTATTTGACTTATTCTGACAGGAGACATACTTTGTATGACTTCTCTGCCATATAATGGTATATGAAGCAAACCAGATGGAGCTCTAAATTTGTGACCTTCAGGAGCAAAAGATTTATTCTTCTTCTGAGATTCTTGATTTTTATTTAAAACATTTAAATTTTTAAGTGAAGTTTTGTCTACTTCTTTTGCAATTGCTTTACTCATTAGTCTCTTTTCTGTTGCACGTGTAATTCTTTTTGGAATAGGTTCACATGTTTTAGTTGTTTTAGTTACAGGAACATTACAATTATTAATTGGAGAATATATTTTATGATGAACAATTCCTACTACAAAGGGTCTCTTTTTCTTTTGTTGTTCAATTTTTCTTTGTCTTTCACGCTCAGCTTTCCATTTTTTAAGCTTATTAATACGATCTTCTGAAATCAAATTTTAATCAATTTATATTAGCATTTCTTTTTGATAAATTATTAAGTTTATATAATATTTAATACAAACCTTCGGCTTGTGTATTCATTGTGGTAATTGGTATATTTCTGTTTTCATTGAACGTATTAGCTCTATAAACTTTACGCAAATCTTTATGTTTTTCAGCGCGAATAAGACGACCCTTGCTTACAGTTTTGGTACCAATTGATTTATATTGTTGTCGGAAAGACGACATTTTAATTCACATTTATTTCACAAACGTCTTTAATTAAATATCTATGTATATTAACTGTTTAACCGCGATCGGTTAAACGGAAAATAGTTTAAACTTTGAAAGCTTGACAGTATAGCCAATACAATAAAAATTACAATATTATCAAATTTTTTCAAATTTTATTGTAATTAATGTATCAAAAATTAATTGATTATATAAATGTATGTTTATTATTTTTATTAAATATTATTATAAAAATTATTTCATTAATATAAATTAAGGAAATAAATAATGAAAATATTTAATACCAACATACAAATTTTTTATGTTGAAATATATATAAAGAAAATATACAATTTTTTATTATATTTACTTATAATTTAAAATTTATTTAGAATAAATATGGAAATCAAAAAAATATAATATTCATACGATATTTAATTAATTTATGTTATGATTAAATTTTTAAAGTTTTTTTTTGACTTTAAAAATGAACCGGATGTGATCTATAGATGCATTAGAAGCAGTTTTCTATCGCGCGCGTTAAACTTATTTAACTTTGTGTGACAAAAATAATTTGGACTTCATTTTCAAGAATATTTCTACTATAAATGCACGTATGTATCTTCTTTATTATTAATGTAATAATAATTTTATATATATTTTCTTTTTTTTCAATTTCAACAATTAATTAAATATCAATCCTAGTATAAAAACAATTTTAAATATATACATTTTTTTCATTTAAAAATTTTAGAATTTAAATTTAATATATTTTTCTTTACATTAATAAAAACTTAAATTAATAATTAGATTATCGTTAATATAAATAAGTATATAAAAAAAATTTTTTGTTAAAATTATTTGTAATTTTTAAATATAAGACATGTCTAGAAAAATATATATTTCTCTAATTTATGATTATTGGAATATGATAATTGGAATAATATTTAATTATCTTTTTATAAATTTACTTATAATTATTAATAAGTTTATTTTTATTAATTTTTAATAAATTTATTAAAAATAACTTCAAATATCATATTTAAAGTTATATAGAAAATGTTAGAACTCGTAATTTATCTCGTATTTTATTTTATATAAATATTTTCAAAATTAAATTAAAATAAATTATGCATTTCGTTAATACTAAATTTTTTAATACTAAAATTTAATTTTTTTTATTTTATCTTATTTACAATATTATTACAATAAAATTTATATGTTTTTGGAAACAGTTTTATGTATATTAACAACACATATAATTTCTACAATTATACATATAATTAACAAAATATTTTAAGATTTTATATTAGTCTAAACTTATACAATGAGTAATATGATTTTCCAACTGACTCATGTTTCTAAATGTGCACTCACATTTTGGACATGAAAATGATGATAATAACGGTGGTTGTAGTTCAGTTGTTCTACTCTAAAATTAAATATATATATATATATGATAATTTCCGAAATATTATTACAAATATTTAATTTAATTTATAAATTATATATTATAAATATAATTGAAAACTTACTTGATTTCCGGATACAATCGGATACAGAGAGTTAATTTGTTTTTGCAATTGATCATTAAATTCTATCTGTTTTTGTAAATCTGCATTCAGTGCATTTTTCTCTTCTAATAGTGTTTCTTTAACTTTTCTCTCATGTCTAAAATCCTCTTCATAAAATTTTAACTGTGTTTGTAATAAATTAATATCTTCCTTCTAAAAATTATTATTATATATTTATTTATATACTTATTTATATATTTATTATTAAAAATATCTGTTTGATTTTTTTTTTTTGATTAAATTAATAAATGTTTGTTTAATAATCAATACTTACATATTGTGCTAAGTCATTCTCTAGTTTTTTCATACGTGATTCTTTTTTTTCCACACTTTGATGCATGATACCAAGTTCAGCAATTAATTGATCATATTTTACTTCAAATTTCTTTTTTTCTGTTTCTAATGTCTTTTTATAATGCATTTCATATAATTGACTCTGTTGATCTAAAGAAGTTTGTTCTTCTTGCAGACCTATTCTTTCTTGTTGTAGAAGTGCTTTAGCATCATTTAAATTTTTATATTCTATATCAAGATTCTTTTTTCGATTATCAAGTAATTTTTTTTCTTCTTCAAGCATTTCTTTTTCCTTATTAAATGCAATTCTTTCTCTTTCCAATAATCGTTTATTATCATCATTTTGTTCATCTAACTCTGAAATTTTTTGAGTAGAAGTTGCAGTTTTTGATGATAACATACTTTTGTCACTATTTTCATTCAACATTGATTCCAATTCATGAAGAACCGACTTACTAAATTCACTTTCAAAACTAGATATTTTTTTTTCTTTTGTATCACCTTGTCTTTCACTTATATCAAGAAACTATAATAAAAGAATAATTATGACATAAATATATAAAATAGAAACATAATGTAGTTTAATGCATCATACCTCACATCCTGTTTCTATATAACTGGTTAATCCAGAAGCAAGTTTCATTTTTAATTCAGTATTTTCCTTTTTAAGATAGTTTATTAATTCTCTAGTCTCAGCAAACTTTTTTTTATGATTTTGATGTACTCTCATAATTTCTTCTTGCCAAGTAGCTAAAACATTAAATTGTTGTTTCATTGCTATATTGTTCTGTTTCAATGTTTCTTTTAATTTTGTGTTTTCTTGCAATAATTCGTTTAATTTTTGATGTACTTCTGCTGTATCCCATGATGCAATCATAGAATTATAGTCCTGAATGTAAAATTATTCAATAAGATAATTGTTTAATTTGCAATTCTGTTAATTAATAGATACATACAATAGACATACACTTTTGTTGAATATCAACATATGATGCAAGTGATGATTGTTGGATAGAATTTAACGAATCTTTACCCAATACCACAAATGACAACGAATCATCTGAATCAACATCACAAAAATTTGATATTGCTGCTTTAGAATACAAAGATGCTTCCTCATCTAATTTAAATCTAGCTTTTCCATTGTTTATAATAAAACCAAGACTTTGTAAGTGGCTTTCTGGTTCAGCATATAATTTGGAATTGATACTCAACAATTTGGTCGAGTCTTGTTCTTGTAATGAAAGCTTTTTTTCTTCATTTGATTCCATAATTAAAAACTTATCTTTATTATTTTTATTTTGAATATTCTACAATATTATACAATATTATACATAAACAATCATAACTTTAAGACAAAAATTATAGTTTAAATGCAAAGCAATAATAAAAATATTTTTAAAAATTATATTATTAATACGTTATTAATAATGTATAAATAAAATTTATTGATAATTTTTAATGTTAAATTAAATATATATTAAATAAATAAGCAAAAATTATTGTTAATACATGTCAAATATTTTTTTATTCCAATGAAATCTAAACTTACCAAAATCTTATTTTATATTGTTTTATAAACATAATGCGCAAAAATGACATTATATTAATTCATTATATTTCATATTATATTTGATCACAAAGTAATTGTATGAATGCTAAGATTATAATGCAATCATTTATAATTATAAAGCAAATTAATTTCGATTGTTAACAGAATTACACTTTCTAATCTTATATTATTGACTTTTATTTGCGAAAATTAACTCTTTGTTCCAGGTTACATTAAGATAAAATTATGAACAAATAATAAAATCCCTAGATTAGTTGCGAAATTCAATGTACATGCAAAATGTCGGATTCTTTCTTACCAACTATGAAAATATATCACTAGCTTTATTTCTATTTATTTTTTCATTAATTATATTTTATTTAATGTATTTTTATTTAATGTATTTTGTATCTTATTATAGATAGAAAGATTAAGAAAAACAAATCTATATTCACTATAAATATAATATATAATTTCAATTAAATAATCTTTGTAAAATAAATAATAAAAATTAGTTTTTTCAAAATATTCACAATTAAAATTCATTTTTTAAAAGTATTTATAATTAAAATTATAAATATATTCTTTTTAATATTATCTACAAATATTAATATCTGAATTTTTATTCATATTATTAAATTAAATTTAATTGAACAAATTTTAAATTAAAAATTAAAAGTTTAAATTTATTTATATAATTTACAATTAATAAGTTCTTTTTTTTTCTAAAAAAATATATTATAAAATAAATATTAAATATTTCAGAATTTAAAATGGTTTTTTTGTATGGTTAAAATTTTAAAAGTTTTATAAATGAATCAATAATAAAATGTGTCATATTAATCATTTTTACATTATACATATATAAAACTGACATTAATAATAATTAAAATCAGAAAGTTATTAGTCACATTACTAACAACGTGATTAATCATATTATGTTTCATATATTAATCGCTAAACTAGAATAAAATTGATTACATAATGAAAATAATGAAAATTTTAACTAATTATTAGACACATAATAAAATCTTGCGCAAGAAAATTCATATCTATCATTTGTAAACACTCTATTTCTATTTTCGATATTTTCTGCAAATTATTTACATTTATTACCATTTTTATTTTTTATTTCATACAATATATCATTCAAAATCTTTAAACACAAAATTTAATATACAAAAAATCCATCATGGTTTATATATTAAATTATAATTAAAATTTGCATTAGATAAGATTAAAATGGAATGCACTGTATCATTTTATTGTTAATTTATTCTATCGAAAAATCCATACAATTTTCTATTGACTTTAAAAAGACAAAAAAAAAAAAAAAAGAAAGAAAGAAAAAATGTTAAAGTCTATCAGTTGCCACGAAGGGCTCAATTAATCCCTCGTAATTTAAGGTTTTAATTTATCCCCTCTCCCCCATTACAAACAAGCCAGACAGCAGGCGCGGGTAGTTGGGGGGAGATAGATTTATATATTCCGTGCCGCTTGAACCAGTCGACAAATTATCCGCGATAAACTGTGAAACGCGCGGAAGAAACGAGCTTTGGAACCTGGAATGGAGCATATTGTTGCAAATTTGCCAATCTAAACGGAGATTTATTATTCCTGTCCTGTGCAATCCAGGAGCTCGTTATTATGCTCTCTCTATGGACCTAGTTTATTTATAGATATTGCGCAACGGATATCCATTCTGTCGTGACAAGGTATTGCGCAAAGCTTACCACGCTACTTATATGCGCTTCAGGTTTATCGTTTCACCGATCACCTATATACGCTGCTGACGAACAGTCACAGCATTTGTTTCCTTCCCAATCTCAACCCATGTTATTGCGAGAGCTGAACACAGAAGTTAAAACTAACTCCTACTACAAAGGTCGATCTGCGGTTTATTCTCTGGTTACGATCATGATCTTCTATGCTTCCCTTCGATGGTATATGATGTCTTCCATTTTCTGTCCACCACGGATACGTATCTGTGTATCCATCCATCCTTTGCCGACCCGTCCATTTTATCGCATTGGGAAATTTTACGAAGGAATAAAGAGAAGATATACGTATATCTTTACGGGAGACGTGTATTAGGATAGGTTTATTTCTAATTTTATTGGCCAACGTTTATTTTATTGGTCTGAACGTTCACCACCGTACGCCATATGAATCACGAGACTTATCTTGGTGTTGTGAAAAAAAGGAAATATGTAGTGATGTGAATAAATATTTATTTATTACGAAAAGAATGGAGGATTATTATTAGAAATTGTTAATACAATTATTTGATTAAGATAATATTTGTAATTCGTTTTTTATAGAATAATAAGATAGAGAAGCGTTGGATTTTTTTCTTTTTTTATATTTAAATTTAAGAATTTTAATATGGAAACACAAATTATTATATTTTTCGTTTATTTGATCACATATAGTATTAATTGGATATTTATTGAATCTTTTTTCGTTAAATCTTACATAGTTTAATAATTTTTTTATGGAAAAGTTATCAAGAAAATCTTAGAGATATAGATAAAATTCTAACAACAATATTAATGCGAATATGATGTAACAATAGCGATACGCGAAATAATGGATATATTTTTCGATTAGATAGATTTTATATATAAAAAGAACTAATAAAATAGCCAAGTAAATATTTTCGAGGACACGAAAATGTATTCAAGGGAAAATTTAAATGGTGTCATGGACGACACGTGTCTGGAAATAGTTTTTTATAAGCACATCTTTTTTTAGAGTCACTGGGATGCTCCTTTTATATGAGGTTAGAGAATTTTTTAATCTAGCTACCAACTTTGTAACTACGTACATAACCACGTTATACGATTCTAGATTGGATTAAAAGTCGAGATTCTTCATTTAAAGAACATATAAATATATCGTTTAGAACCACAATCCCATATTCTTGTTACTTGCTTTTGTGTTAACGAATAATTTTTTTCTATCCTCTATATAATTTTTAATATTATCAATATTTATTTAGATTAATAATTAAATCGACTGCGAATATAACAGCCTATATAAATAATCCTCTCCATTCTTTATATTCATTCGCGGCGAATTATCGAGGAAAAAGAAAGAATTCATCTATCAGATACTAACTTTTCTAATTAATCTAGCACCATTGAAAAAGTTGCTATAAAGAGTGCAAACAGATAACGCGCACGCACACTCTTGTCCGATGTTGGAATATAAAGTCTGGGCATTCCGGATTGTTCTTATCACAAATAATACTTACATTTCGAATGCGCGATAACAGATCGATGTATTATACGGTTCAAACTCGATATCAAATATCTAATATTATATGTATAAAAATTTGCGATTCCAGATGTAATATTATCATAAAAAATATTAATTAACTTTCGGATTATCAGTATTATTTATACAACGTCGAATAGTGTGTAGGTTAAAAAAAAATGCAGTTTCCTTGAACAGAGTTATAAAGTTTATAATCTTTTACAACCATGATTCATCGTTCATCTATTCTGAGCGGTTACAATCTCGTGTTGATAGGTTATGAGAGAAAGAGTGAGAAAGAGAGAGAGAGAGAATAAGAAAGATAGCGAGGGCGAGCATAAACCTAGAAGTTTTAACAACTTCTTGCGCGCCCCCTTCCGGTGATGGGACGACTCTTTTGATGAATTAATTGCCTGGGGTAAACTCGTATTTAAATGGAAATAATTCGCCGGATTATCGTTGTCCCCCGTCATTATTACTTTAGCAAAGACGATTAAATGTTATTGGATGAATAATTTGTTTGATAATCGTTTCTTAAGTAGCGGATAACGATAGCTTGACTCGAGTAAAGTCCTCTGATTTTAGTTATCTATTATTTTTTTTATTTTGTATTAATAATTATTTTCAATCAGTGATTGTCAATTTTCTTAAATTAAATTGGAATAATTTAATTGAGAGTTATTACATTATTTGAAGTACCTGTCAATAATAATAAATAAATATCATTCGTACAACATGTTGTACATTTAAAATTCTTATTATATTATTCCGTTATCGATATTATTCTAGAAATAAGACTTTAAATGTAAAATTAATATTCCATGAATTATATTGGGATGGGTTTAAACTACTCTGTTATTGATTTATATGTACATATTGGAGGAAGCCTGACACTGACGGAAACCAGATCGTAACGCTTGACTTGATTTATTAATCTTTCCAAGACCTGTCTAACTTCATTGCTAATTTTAGACTAACTATGTCTTGGATGCATCTCTTGCGGCAACGAGAGTTTTTCAATTCGCCAAAGTTAATTTTCCTCTGACTCATTTATCATATAACGTAGATATCTGTAAAAATATTATGCAATGTCTGCAAACGAATACGTACTTTATTCGATATTTATTATAACAAGATTACAAATATTTTACAAATATTTAATATAAATCTTTTCTAATAATATTTTATCCACTGTGATTACACTGTGAAAAAGATATTCGAAGGATATAACACATATTCTTATATATGATATAATATATGTTTTTCACTTAAATTCTACAAACTTTATGTTTAAGGAAGTTGTATATATATATATAATACTATAACAAACAATTTTTCTTATATATATTTTTTTTTCATAAAACAATATTGTTATAAATTTCATTTATGTTTCTCAATAACGATGGATATACTGTAATACAATAATGATATATAACATATTATTCTTGATTTTATTTTAATATAATTTTTATTTCTTTTCCATTAGACCTTAAGTGTATCGATACTTTTTTAATTGGGAAAAATACAATAAATATATTTATAAAATTTTTTTGAATAACAAAAATGGAGTAAATATCGTTGGAATAAAATTTCAACTTTTGGCCCGAAGAAACTTCACAAACTTTTGCCTTAACGTTTCATTATCCGGATTTATTTGTTGATTCCAACGCACTCACACACCTGAAACTTTGCTCACCTTTATTTTCTCAAAGTAAGAGAGCACGAGGGCCAGGTAAAAAGCAAATTTCAGGCGTAAGAGTACTGTCGATGATTGCCATGGAAATATTCGCCTCATCCGTCTTATCCTCTTAATTCTTAACTAAATATCATTTCTTATACATTCTATCACCAATGTATATTTAAAATTCATTATTTTGCTTAACATTTATCCATTTCTCTTAATATTTAGAATTTAAAATTTCTTCCATTTTCTTTATCATAAAATAATTCCAACTATAAAACTTGTTGAAAAATCCATAGACCAAGAATTCCAATGATCTCGAGCAAATATTCTTTATCAAAACTCGTATCGATCCAAAAGATCGATTCCACCGGGCATTGGACAGTTTCACAAATCCACGACTCCAAATACCAATAGATATTTTCTTAGTTTCACAACCAAGCCTATCCATCGAACGCAACAGACTTTACAATCACACAACTTTTCGCACAACTTCGAATCGTCGTCGATGTTTCCAATCGATGAACGAGCACATTGAATGCAGATCGTCCAAGTTTGCCGGGCGAAGGATGTTGATCGCGCGAGGATAGAGACTGTCACGGACACACCTGAAACTTTGCTCACCCAGAGTGGAGAAAAAGTACGGGCAGAGCAAAGAGTCAGGCCCGCCCGTAACGTTCGGATGCTTTATACAGTGGCGCCCCATCATCCTCTTCGTCTTCCTCCTTCTCTCCTTTCCCTCCTTCCTCGCCGATTTTATGCAACAGCGTCGCCACGTTGCTAGAGAGCGCTGGAAAACAGAGACACAGAGAGAGAGAGAGAGAGAGAGAGAGAGAGAGAGAGAGAGAGAGAGAGAGAGGGAGAGGCGGGAAGAATTCTTCATCGAGGAAAAGATTCGAGGGAACGAGTTACCGATAAGACCTCGAGAGAGGCCATTAGAAGAAGCCGCGGAAAAAATAGGCTGGGCTGGGTTGGCGATGGCGAAGCAGAGGAGGGACATCTTTGGCGGGCGGAAGAAGAAAGAAAGTGCGAGTAAAGAGAGCGAAGAGCGGAGAGAAGAACTCACGCGAAGAACTCTGGATGCCACTTAGAAATGGCGGCCAAGGAATCAAGACCGTTGCCGAGGCTGTAGGTTTCATCCTACTTTTCCACTCTTTCCACTCTTTTCCCTCGAGACGAGACGACACTCGAACCTTCTCCATTGTTCCCATTGGACCCCGCTGAAACAGAATTGAAAAGATTTTTGCGTGATATTTACCAACAGATTTCATTCAGAACTGCAAATATTTTATGGGGGAGGGGGGGGGGGAGGGGGAGGATGGATCGTAAATCGTGAATAGATCGTAATCGTTTTTTACGGATCTTTCTTTTTTTTTCTTGGGGAAAGAGAGAAGGGGAAAGAGGAAGAGAGGAGGGGAGGGGAGAGGAGGGGAGGGATTTTGCCATGGTTGAGATGGTGTCAAGTGATTCGCGTGTTTGAGTATGATATTAGAAGGAAATTGTGAGATTTTGTGATTTGAGAGGTGGAAGGGAGAGGGGAAAGAGGAGCAAATAATTTGAAAAAAGTAAACGTAACGTAAGTATTTATCAATTGTGCAAAGAGAAAGGCAAAGATACGAGGAATCTTAATAATCATTCCAAATTCCTCGGAACATCTTTATCATCGATACGAAAAAGATTGCAAGAAAATATTTTCTTCGATCAATCACACTTTTACACCGGAAACAAGCTTCTTTTTCCCTTGTTGTTAAGGCTGTTGAATGTAACTAATAACAAACAGGAAATAACAAATTAAAAAAAATCAAGTTTCTCGACACAACAAACTTATAAACTCCATATATCAATTTATTATTTATCAAACAGATGTTACAGCTGGAATAATTATATATGACTCTGATAAAACACGAGGGAGCATCATCAATTTGATAAATCTGTTACAAGTGTTATTAACATTCCAACAAGCGGATCCACTGATATTTTTTTTTTTTTGATCGTATTTTTTCCTCTTTTTTTTTTTTTTTTCTTTCTCCTTTTTCTTTTTCTCGACAAATTAAAACGTCGAAAAACACGATAAAAACATTTCTCGAGTGTCAGAATCATACGTAATCCCATCGTGCACTCTGCTAAATACCTGATCGACCATGAGCGAGGGCCACTAAACCGATTACCACGCAGTTTATGCCGTACCGTGGTAACAGCCATCCATATAAGTGCATCCTAACGGCAACTTAAATGTATCCCGGGACTGGCTGTTAAAGATCAATCTAATTTGGTATTAATCGATGGTTATTAATCCGCCACTTTCGCGACGATGGAAATTTAGCAAGCGATGGAAAAGTAATTACCAATTTGCGCGACGTTCAAGGGCTCGAAGATTTGAGAAAATATCTCACACGGAACACAAAATGTAAAATGTAATTGAATTTGTCACAACGATATCTCTATCTCTTCCTTTTAGATAGAGATATCGTTGTGACAAATCTTTTCTCTTTTTTTAATTCAGATTTAATGCGAATCTAATTCGCCACTGTATGATAACGGGTAAACACAAGTGTCGATCCATCGAATTTCTCGAATGTTCGAAAAAACTCGATTTCTATATCTATCAAAATTCTAACAGGAAAATTCTAAAAGTTGGGAGACACTGTTCTTCCCCGAAAACGGAACGGTCAATTTCCACGCGGTCATCAGTTAGGTTCCGTGGATTTTTCCATGTATACACAGATATACATCTGGTTATTCGGTCGGGTTTCGCGGCGGGCTGGAAGATGGCAGAGCGCGTGGTGAAAGAGAAGGTCCCGGCAATCTGCAGACACACACAGGCTGTCAGAGGGCAAACTTGGTGTCCAGGAGCGGAGAGTATAGCGTTACACAGGCCTTGGATGTCAGTGACCGGAGCATAACCCCAAGATAGTTTCACCATTACACCGGCGTCTTCCTCCTTGGCTCCTTTCTGTCGGCTTGTGTATACCGTCTGCACGCTCGTTCAGCCGTGGCCGCAACACCTCCGTGTCTCCAGTTGCAAATGTTCGCGTCAACGAGCTCCTTTCCAGCTTCAGGACACTCCTCACACTCTCGATCGAGCTTAGACGATTTCCACAATCAATCTACATTTCTCTTTGTTGGATTGGTTCGTCATTTCATTCGATTCGAGGATATTATATTTTTTCCTTCGATTTCCTTTTCGAGTTCGATAAATTTTATTGATAAATTTATATGATATAATAAAAATAATAAATTTTATTGATTTTATTGATTGTTCCATATAAAAATTTTGAAAGATTCTTTTATGATTTGTATTGTAATTTTGTATTTTTTTTTTTTTTTTTAACTTTATAATTAGATCTAGGTGATCTTTATGTGACTATTTTTTTGATCTCACGAAAAAATTAAGAAATTTGAAAAATACTAAATCATTCGTGATTTCATTTTTTCTGGATTTCATTTCTTTTATAAATTTATTTAATTGATTGATTAATTATTGATTCGTATGTATTTGCTTTTTGAATTTAATTAGACATTTCTACGATCGATTTACATTTCTCTTCCTTGTATTGATTCGTCATTTCATTCGATTCGAGAATACTACATTTTTTCCTTCGATTTCCTTTTCGAGTTCGATAAATTTTATTGATACTTGTTCCATATAAAAATTTTGAAAGATTCTTTTATAATTTGTATTGTAATTTTGTATTTTTTTTTTTTTTGTAATTTTACAATTAGATCTATGGTTTACGTGATTATTTTTGATCTTGCACAAAAAGTTAAGAAATTTGAAAAATACTAAATCATTCGTGATCTTCTGGATTTCAATTTTTTTACAAATTTATTTAATTGATTGATTAATTGTTGATTCGTATGTATTTATTTTTCGAATTTAATTAGATGTTTCCACGATCGATTTATATTTCTCTTTGTTGGATTGGTTTGTCACTTCATTCGATTCGAAGATACTTCATTTTTTCCTTCGATTTCCTTTTCGAGTTCGATAAATTTTATTGATACTTGTTCCATATAAAAATTTTGAAAGATTCTTTTATGATTTGTATTGTAATTTTGTATTTTTTTTTTTTTTGTAACTTTATAATTAGATCTAGGTGATCTTTATGTGACTATTTTTTTGATCTCACGAAAAAATTAAGAAATTTGAAAAATACTAAATCATTCGTGATTTCATTTTTTCTGGATTTCATTTCTTTTATAAATTTATTTAATTGATTGATTAATTATTGATTCGTATGTATTTGCTTTTTGAATTTAATTAGACATTTCTACGATCGATTTACATTTCTCTTCCTTGTATTGATTCGTCATTTCATTCGATTCGAGAATACTACATTTTTTCCTTCGATTTCCTTTTCGAGTTCGATAAATTTTATTGATACTTGTTCCATATAAAAATTTTGAAAGATTCTTTTATAATTTGTATTGTAATTTTGTATTTTTTTTTTTTTTGTAATTTTACAATTAGATCTATGGTTTACGTGATTATTTTTGATCTTGCACAAAAAGTTAAGAAATTTGAAAAATACTAAATCATTCGTGATCTTCTGGATTTCAATTTTTTTACAAATTTATTTAATTGATTGATTAATTGTTGATTCGTATGTATTTATTTTTCGAATTTAATTAGATGTTTCCACGATCGATTTATATTTCTCTTTGTTGGATTGGTTTGTCACTTCATTCGATTCGAAGATACTTCATTTTTTCCTTCGATTTCCTTTTCGAGTTCGATAAATTTTATTGATACTTGTTCCATATAAAAATTTTGAAAGATTCTTTTATGATTTGTATTGTAATTTTGTATTTTTTTTTTTTTTGTAACTTTATAATTAGATCTATGGTTTACGTGATTATTTTTGATCTCGCGCAAAAAATTAAGAAATTTGAAAAATACTAAATCATTCGTGATCTTTTGGATTTCATTTCTTTTACAAATTTATTTAATTGATTGATTAATTATAATTGATTCGTATATATTTGCTTTGTGATTTTTCTCGGTGTAGCTTTAAACAAGAAATTTGCTTTTTGAATTTAATTAGACGCCAAATTTTCATTAGCACGATCAGAAGGATATTCAAATGAGAGATAAACTGCATAGTGAACTATTCTACGAGTGATCGCCTGGCTGATTCGAGTTCGATTAGAGCATTTATGCGCATGATCGATCCTCGTGTAAACCTTTTGAATGTTTAATTGAAATTCATGGTTGATGTGATTACTGCAAATTTTCCATGTTTTCTATATAGATTGATCAATCACGTTGCCGATATGTGATCGATCGTTTTTTAAAAATTCCAAATATTTTATTATATTTTCCAAACATGTATAATTTGTAAATTTAACGATTAAAATTACAATTAAAATTATTTAGAAAAATAAAATTGTAAATTTTTATAATACTAACATTTAATTTAATTACAGAGATGTCATAATTAGAGAATAATTAATATCGATATCATTAACAAATATTTTGTTTCATTATTATTTTGAAAATGATTAATCAGAGATTAATTCTAATTCGGGATAAAAGTGACACAATTTTCAAATTGTGTTTCTTCTATATCCTCTTTTCTGTATCCAATTAACGATACTAATTAAAATCGTATCGAAAAAAAATAGAAAAGGATTGGAAATTAAACAAAATTCGGATCCCTTTAAATTTTAGAAAATTTCGGAGCGCGCATGGAATAACGAACTTAATGAAATATAACTGAATCGAGTTGTGCAATTTATGATGCAAAAGTTACAGACCAACCTGTTTCGTATTACGCGTAACGTGGTAGGAGATTCGATCCAGTCGTACCTCGTGTAATTGGCACACTTTATATCATGTTACCTCCATACTAATATCTTCTCATGCATACTAATAAGGATCATATAAAATTACCTGCAATTTAAAATGTGTATTTTTTACACGCGTAGACGTTGATGAAATTCTATAGAGATATTAATATACCAAAAGTTTTTCTTATTAACGAAATTTCTTCTTCTTTTTTTTTTTTTTTTTTTACAGATTTCCTTTTTTCCCCGAATCTGTTCGTTCCACTCCTACATTTTCAAACAGCTTCCTCGTCCAAACAGCTCGAATGGTGAGTGAATTTCCTATTTATCTTTAACAATAATAATTAATGCATAACTAAAAATCGCATTCCAAGAGAAATGTCTATGAACGATTTTCCTCTCGTTAAAAAATATCGGATTAGATTATTTTATC